AGCCCCAGTTGCCCTGGCCGCCCTGCGCTCCACAGGCTCTGCTGTGCCCAGCTGACCGTTGTTTTCCTCCTGCTGATGACGAGGCGCACCCTGCCTGACCCTACTGTATGAGAGGCAGCTGCTTGCCACACCAGTTCTTCTTCCCAAGGCTGCTTGTGCCATTCCTTCTCCAAATCGCACATCCCATTCTTGTGATCCTTCAGAAACCTTCTGGTCTTCCCCAGGTCTTGCGAGAACGGGCACGCTATTTGGAGAATGGCAAGAGCCCTGTTCTAGTGGTGATTCAGAAGACCTCATTCTCCAAATCGTGCATCCCATTCTCGTGATCCTTTTGAAGTAGAGGCCTGCAGAGCGGTGGTAGCTGGCTGAGACTGCTGAAGGTCCTGGGCCTCTACTTCAGGCCTAGCTGCCATTGAATGCCACTATGGAGGGCAGCCAAAAGGGCATAGATGGGGGGGGTAGAATAGGCAGGAGAGTTGCAGCGCCCCTGTGGTCGTAAGTGCAGGTAGGCTGCCAAGTGCCTGAATTTTGATTATGTGACCGTGGGGGCACAGCAATGGCTATAACTTGGGGCATGGGTCGTAAGTCCATTTTTTCAGTACTGTCATAATTTTGAACAGTCGCTGGATGAATGGTCGTTAAGTGAGGACTACCTGTACAGCTAACTTAATAAACTTGGATTGGATAGAACAGCAGAATGGAAGAGAAGAATCAAGTTTCTACAAGAGCTTGCCACAATGTGGTTTATCTGGTTTTGATTTATGGTCTTGTATAATTTCTACCAATTGTAGTTTATTAAATAAACCACTGTTATTTAACTTTGGCTTAGTGCAATATACTAATCTGGTCTTATAGTCCAATCGTACGTTCCAGTCTTTCTCAACGTGCCCCTGCCAGAAGTACTGGGATTGCCTTTGGCCATGCTGGTGGGGAATTCTGTAATCCCAACACATCTGGTCAGACCCAGGTTCAGGGCTAACTTTTACACAGTTAGTGATACACACTTATATGGCAAGTAAAGAGGTATTGATCAGTTTTGAGGTAGCCTCAGAAGACTAAGTTTTTTCTCATTCTTCTGTTCTCTGAAGGACTATGGGGCAGTTCAGAGGTTCACCTGAAAATAAGGACCAGTCTGGTTTAGGTCAAAGAGCGTAAAGCTTTGACTTCTAAGCAGAAATTTGCTCATGGCAGTTGCCAGCTCATCCAGGATTGTATTAGCAAAGGAATGTGTGGGAAACCTGTAGTTTTTCATTGTCATGATGACATTAGTGGGCCATATATAACTGAGTTGACATCTGCTTATTAAATACTTACACCACTTTGCCCAAACCACTCATGCATTAATTCACGTTTAAATCTCCCTGCCTGACATAAGGAGGGCTCCGTGTAGTGGAGCTGAATGAAAAGTATCTTGGCTAAGGGAAAACAGGGATGGGGGGCATTGTCACAAGGACAGGCTGAGACCCCAGACGTATCTCTCTCCCCTAAGCAGAACTTGTCAGAAATGAAGAATAACAGCACTCAGCCTCAATTAGAATGAAGAGACCTGTTGATTTCTGGTATGTCACTTTCACATGCTTTAGCCCATAATCCCATTCCAGTTCTGAATTAAGATGTGATGGAGTCTCTGGCACATTCCCCTCCTGATTAAGCTCATTTTAAGACTTACGCTCCAGGCCAACCCTGAGAGGGGGAACTTTCTCTTGCTTCACTTCCACTGAAGATACATTGATGTACCTTTTTAATTTTAATTTTTTAATTTACAATTTATTAAGAAACTTTTATAGAAACATTTGGAGGGCATCAGATTTCCTATCTCTAATCTAGTGAATCAAATGAAAAAAATGAAATGCTCCTTCTAATCACTGTTTAACATTTTGTGATAATTCAGAAATAACTGAACAGCAATACAATCAGCTGAAACATTTGTTATGTTCTTTGGTTCAAATATATTGGCTGCCTTGGAAATCCCTATGGCCCTGAATGCACTGGAGATATTTTTTTTTCAGAGGCTAAACCAAGAATTGTTTTATCAACAATTTTAAAACTCTACTAAAATAAATAGGGATAATATACAAGATATTTAGAATAGAGAATTGGAGTTTTGAAATTGGAATCAGTGGTCTCAGGTTTTAAGACACAAATACATTTCTTATGATCTTAACACAAGATTAATTAATCAAAAATTGTATTTCAGACCACTGGGCTAATTAACATTTAAAAAACATTGTCAAACTTATGTTGGAGATGTAGTAAAGTACATCTGCTTTGGAGATATTCCTTGGTTACTTCTTATTGGTTGAATATTCACACTATGGTGAACCAGATTCTTGGAAGGAAGTTGATTTAACGTGACTTTGTGTTGCTAAATTATATTTCAAAAATTTGGAATGTATCTATTTATTAAGAACTTTGAATTAACCATGCTTGAACTGTTGCCAAAATTCATCACATGTTCTTGGAAATACATTTGTATAGTGTATACCAAAGGTTGGCTTGATAAAATGGATCAACTTTCATTTTTTGAATGGGCTCTTTTTGGAGTGTAGAGTGGACAATATAATTCTGTGTGGTCAAGGTTTAATTTGTTGTTTAGCAGTTCTTACTTAATTAGTATTTAGTTGAATTAGCATTTTTGTTTTTAATATAATATGTCTTTAATATCTTGTTTTGTTTTATTTGGGTTCACATATTTTGTTTTTGCTTTTTGTAGATGTATAAAATAATAAAAAATATCAAAAATATGTCCTGTATTTTAGTCAAGGAGAATGATGATCACAACTAGCAATAACAAATTTAGGAGGTGGGATGAGTTCTCCTACCTGGCGTGGTGGATGTGGCTCCTGATAACTGGGCAGGATCTTGAGTACAACACTTCCACTTGCATTTTTTAGCACTTCTTGGAGGGCTCGTGGATCACTGCCCACTTCTTGCCCATTCACCTCTTTGATAATATCACCCACATGCAGCAACCCCTGCTGGTCAATCATGCCACCATGGAGGATACGTGCAATGACCAGCTCACCACGCTCCACACGGAATGTCACACCCTGGGATGAGAGAAACAAACGCAAACACAGGGTCATACAGCTGACCTTGGCTTATCAGAAACAACAACAACCCTAAGGTAAAGTCGAACCTGGTTAGGCTATAGGCTAGGCTGGGGAGTTTTTAAAAAACACCTCTTGAAGAAAGGAATGACAAACCACTTCCATATTATTTTTAAGAAAATAACATAGATAGGCCCATGTAGAATCCAGGAGTTGACCTTTACTCAAGAGTCTTTGATGACAATGATAATTATGTGCCATCAAGTCGCCTCTTAGCAACCACATAGATTTTCTCCATGAATATCTGTCCCTAATCTGGTCCTTCAGGTCTTCCAACAGTGTGCCTATCACCATTATCACCGAGTCCATCTACCTTGCTGCTGGTCATCCTCTTTCCTTCCACCTTTCCCAGCATTAGACCCTTCTCTAGGGAGCTGGGTCTTTGCATAATGTGTCCGAAGAAGGATAATTTGAGCCTGGTCATTTGTGCCTCAAACAAGAACTCTGGTTGGATGTATTTGATGATCCATTGGTTTGTTTGCTTACTCATCCCTTCCAGGAACACCCCGCTGCTACAGTGGGACAGCACAGCAGGGCCTGGTGGGGGAGGCAAGAGTCTTTATCTTCCTAATATTCATATAATTTTTTCCCCTCTTCTGTTCAGTTATCAAGAGCGGCCGTTATCATACCTCAGGTACCTCCCTCGTGAAATGCAAAATGTGGTCAGTTTGATGTGTTGGGAAGGGGGGCAGTCTGAGACTGGCTGGGAGCATTCCTAAACTTCTCCAAGCTTCACATTCTTTTTTTTTCCTTTAGAAGTGAATTTTCTTTTTTCTTTTTTTTTCAAATACATATCAAAAAGTCTATAAAGAATATAGGATACTGGTAATAAATTTTTAAAAAAATGAAATGTGGGCAGATAGCCAACAAATCTTGAATAGGAAGAAGTCTAAAATATCATATGGCTAATATATTCTAATACACAGTGCTCCAAGGCATTTCATGAAAGTGAATTTTCAAAAGCCCTGTCAATGTAACAGTTGTGCAAAGAAACACAATCTTATGATGTTACAGGCATTAGCTAGTCTGTGGTGAACATAGCCAGGAATTCTATGTTCATTTAAAATGTACTATAAAAGTAAAACTAAATACAAACAGTACAGAAATACTGTAAAAACAATAATAGACGAGAGGAAAATTAGAAGCAAAAATTATGATGACAACCAAGCCTCCCCCAATAAAATAGCAAAATATTACAGTTCTAAAGTCAATATGGCTTATAAAAATGTGTGGGAAAATAAACATTAAAAGTCTTCACTAGTATGGAAAGGATTATAAAGTAAGTTACAATTTTACTTATATTGTTACATGATTTTATAGCTTGTTTTACTCTAATCAATTGTGACTCTTTTGTTTTGTTTTGCGGTCAATGACCAAAATAAAATGACTGACTTAAAGACTATTAAGTAGGCACCAGGTAAGCCTCTCTGGGATAAATTATTTAACTGAAAATTGCTCCCTCTACTCAAATAAAGCCCCTGAAAGAAATGGTCTTCTTTCCATTCTCTTTCCCTGAGCCAGACATTTTCAAAACCTTAACCATTCTACCCACTCTCTGATCCTTCAGTTCCTCTCCACCTTTTCTTCCCATGTCACTTACCTGGGTACCTGGCTAGCAATTTATATCAATTTATATTAGCTTAGTGATAGGCTGCACTGTCGGATGATTTGGGAAAACAAAGAAGGGGAAATAATTCAATTTACTTCCAAACAATTGGACTTAGGCCTCTCCGTCATTAGCAACAGATGAATTTTTATTCTGTTGTCAAATAAAATGAATTTGTCTATATTAATCCCTTTTTTCATTTTGTAACACTTTCTTCAGGTATCTCATTTCTCAGTACTGTCAAATGTTAGATGGTAAGCTCTTTGGGGCAACAATTTTGTTGTATGATTTTGCACATAAGTATTTATGCTGATACTATATAAAAACCAACAATTTGTGTAAAATTCAGCCTGTAGAAGGCATTTGCTCACCAGGTGTTCCCCAGCAGTCTTACGAATTCCCACCATGCGTACAGCATCTGGTGGAACTGGCTGGTTGTTGAACATGGGGTCCAGGACAGGACTGGGTGGCGGAGTTTCGTAGCTCTTAGAGGCAACAGAATCGTGAGTTTCCAAGAGGGACTAAGAAAAGGGAATGAGAGTGATAGCGATAGAGCAGAGGGAAAAAAAGGGAAAGGCTTAATCAGCTGAGATCAGAGACTGACTAATCAAATACACAGAAGGTGGTTGACAAAGGCTAGAATGGGCAATGTGTGGATCTCCAAAGGTCTTGAATGCCACCTCCCATCAAATCCAGGCAGCTTGGCCTATGTAGTAGGAGGATAGCATTCAAACAGAGAAATATATCTCCCCCTCCCCAATACACTTTCCCAGGGAAATAAGCTGTTAGCTCAGTCATAAAACATTTAGATACAAAGGAATGTTGATTACAACATTAAGGGGCAGTAAAAGCAATGGGAAGCAAAGACATTAGAAGATACTGTAACACCCAGAGAAAGTAGCATACCAACAGTAACTGTTCTTAAAGACTGCTTTAATTCAATAAGCTATTGCATTTGTGGTGCTGCTCTCATTCTCGCCATCCTGACTATAATTTGACTATAATCAAATTATTGGATTAAATATATAGTGTATAGATAAAATAGGTATTGTATATATGGATACGGATTAAATATATATTGTAATTTAATAATATAAATTACAAGTTAGAGAGATTGCATCCTTGCCCCTTTTTAGGATAGTCTGGCTGCCTCTGGTACCGCATTAAGCAATCTGTGCTTCAATGCAGTTGTATAGTGGTCTCCATTTTAAAACAAACCCATGGAGAGATTTGTAAGAGGAATTTTTCCTACAATTTGTTGTCACAAGTATATGTTCATTATATATGCCACAAGTATAATAATATACTGTGGCATATATAATAATATTATATATTATATTATAATGATATATATTATAATAATATAAGTTTATATACTGTGGAATGCCACAGTATATAAACAGAGAGCAAACCCCATCCCATTCTAGCACTGAAGATGTTACCTTATAAGTTTATATACTGTGGAATGCCACAGTATATAAACAGAGAGCAAACCCCATCCTATAAGTTTATATACTGTGGAATGCCACAGTATATAAACAGAGAGCAAACCCCATCCCATTCTAGCACTGAAGATGTTACCTAGCTGGGTAATGAAACATTTGCAAGAAAACAACCAAGCTCAGAGAACCCCAAGGACTCCACAGTTCAACCTTGACTACACATATTCGCTTCTAAAGGAGGGATTGCAAAGAGGGTGCTGATTCAACCTGCTGGCCCCCATCCAGGCCAGTGGAGTTCCTCTCAATGGAGCTTGATCCAATTGTCAAAGGACTTTCATCTCATTTCCTCAGTTTGATCTTTTTGATACCTCTTGACAACTCTAATTTAATTCTTTTCTCTGATGGCTTTTGCCACCAGGATCACATTGCAAAATTATATGCTGGATATTCTGTGTGTTCTCTTCATGCTGTTTTTCTTTGCCTGAGACATACTCTACTTAAGCTGTAGCGCTTGCTGCTCTTGCTTGCGTCTGCTAGTTGGCAACGGGACAAACTGCAACTATTTACACAGATTCCAAAATATGCTTATGACATTTGTCATCCTTTTGGTACTCTCTGGCAGAAGAGACAGTTCCTAATCCCTGCAGGAACCTCAGATTCCCACGCTCCTTTTATTCATGCTTTGCTTCAAGCTTTTTTGTTGCCTATAAAATAGCTATTGTCTGGTATAAAGCACACAGCAACAGACAACTCAGAAGTTGCTAGTGGAAATCAGGACACTGGTGCACATGCAGCTGTGCTTAAGAACCCACTGACTGCACTAACCTTGGCTGCCATACCATCCAGAGACTTACTTGAAGCTCACCTTCAAGCTCTTACAAGAACGCATCCACTCTTGTGAATCCTGCTGCTGGAAATGTGCAGGGTATGCAGCAGAATCCCAGGGGATCTGGCAACATCTGGATAGATGCCCAGGAGCCCCTTGACAATTAGTGAGACCCTTGGTTCGCATAACACACAAGGTATCTCACACAAAGAGGGGAATGGCTCAATGTAGACTGGCATGCTCCTTTTGTCCATCAATGCCTGTGCTCATCCTGCCCTACCTACCAGTAAAACAATGGGAGCTTATCCTTCCCATGGACAGACCTTGGGCACAGTGATGCTCCTGAGTCTTACAGATGGAATTTGCAAACTCCTCATGAAAAATGGGTGCTGTTCTTTGTGGCCTATACTTTTTTAAGATAGATGGAGACTTACCCTGTCGCCATGTTCACCCGTGCCCTGGGTGGGCTTACCTCACTAATTAGATTGCGATACAGATATTCATTCTACCAGTGACCATTTGCAAAGCCTTGGGTGTTAAATTCTACACCCCTTACTACTCAAAAGTTGTACTTATATAGAAGAGTAGAACCAAGACATTAAACGCAATTAGCTAAAATCACTGCAGATATTGGTCTCTAATGGCCATAGGCCCACCCCTACATTCTCATGGGAATCAGAATACTCCCCAACAGGAAACTCTCCTCCCCTCTGAAAGTGTATTTATTTGACAGATGCCGGGAACAACCAACCCCAATCAGCTGATTGCAAAAGGAAACCAAGATAACTTGGACAAAGGGTTGATCAGGATTGTTCATCCCTCACTTAAAAATTGAAAACCACTTCCAACCATCTGTGGTGGCAACATGCCATTCCCCATGGTCCAGAAACCACATCCTTGTCCAAGAATACTGGAGAAAAGACTGCCTACTGCCATAATAGACTGAACCCCCCAGAGTCACTTCCTCATGAGATGGACGGTGTCTAAATTCGAAATATAAATAAATAAAAACTCTGCCACGTGTTGTTGACAGCTCACACTGCAGTGAAGTGTGAAGGTTGACCTGACTGAATGCATACATCACACTGCTAGTTTCCACTGAACTATCTGGACTAACTGTGGAACCTTGGAAGCCTCTGCTCCAACATGGTACTATTTCAGCTCTTCAGAATTTTCCCCACTTGCTTATGCTAAATGACTGCATATTTGAATATTTGTGATGGGGCAGAAGATTGAGTCTTGGGGTAGAATATGCTGATTACTGTATTCTGCAGAATAGTGAAACTATTACAGTGGTACCTCGGGTTACGAACTTAATTCGTTCCGTGACTCTGGTTGCAACCCGAA